CCTCACATCAATCCTGAGCTACAAATATTCTCCTTTATTAGTATCACCTGAAATTGGCAGCAATACTGTGTTTATGCTCCAGAAGCTGGAACATTATTGCTTCTCAATGTAGGAATGCAGTTTGGTGGTCTATGTGGCTACAACCACAATCACTATTCCCCCCTGCAACCAGGCACAGCTCCCAGGCTTGTTCCAAACACACATAAAAAACTCCGCAGAATTCCATGTTTGGATGATAGATAGAACAAACCACAGCACAACCGGTTGTAGTTCATTAGCTACACTGAAATGCTGGAGCAGCCAGTGGGCCATCTTACAGCAACCAGCAATGGCAAACTTTGGTCCTGGCACTTAAAGTTCACACATAACCTAAATGGAAAGCTGGCCTACAGTGCAATGTTCTTCTGATCTATGGTCTTTGGATCAGACAGAAGAAATTAATCCGTATTCTATGGAAAGTTACTGAAGAGTTCAAAGTCAAATGCCTTGGCTCTGAACATGTGTCGTTTTATACTTTTTTGCTGGCATTATCCAGACATTTTTACTTATTTAGGAAATGTATAACTCAATTTAAATGATAATACTTTCAAAGCTGAAGCAGAAATAAATTAAAACAATAAAAGCATATGACGGTTAAATATTATGCAAGATAGCAGGAACAGTAATTCATTCATAACTGTTACTGACACACCAACAAACGTTCAAAATATAAGATTAAAAAAATAAATCTTCAGTTGATACCAACAACTGAGTAGTGGAACTCAATATTGAAGGACCCTTTACTGTGCTACTGAAAATGAAGTATTGTCAAAGGGGCATTACCATGTTATTGTCAGGGCACTTACATAAAGAAAATGGTAGCAGGTCCAAGATCCAAAAACTGCATGGAATTAGATGAGTGTTTTTCAATGTAACCAACTTTGAGATGTGTGGACTTTGTCTCCCAGAATTCCATAACCAGCATATTGGCCAAAAAATTCTGAGACTGGAAGTCCACACATTTGAAAGTTGCCTGGTTTGAAAAACACAGAATTAGATTGTTGTCTATGTGCTCTCTTCATATACAGTATTAAAGGGTAAATCTTCATCTAATTTCCCCCAAAATATTGAGTCACTTAATTTGTGAGGTCACCTGAAGATTGATCAATTCTAATGTATGTAAGTTGAGATTATATTTCACTGTTTTTCATATACTGAATCAGGAGGACTAAATTCTAAGTTTACATATCTGAGTAGGAGCTATATAATTGTGTAATCCCTCTTCCAATGCTTTCTGTTTTACTGAGGCTATTCCATTTGGATGCATGAAAACAGGATTAAGCAACAACTAAATTTCTTTTTTTTAGTACGCCTCCAACTCTCTCCTTGCCACCTATGAAGCAGGGTAAGAATTTCACATTATGATCAAGCTGCTAGACAAGACAACTACTGTATTTAGAAACAAACAAAAATATCTAACACAGATATACAGGGCTGCATAGCAATTTGAATTCAAAGGGAAGCCAGGAGAAGATAAGATCTTGACAAAGGCTATGGGCACACCCACAGATGCTCTGAATCACAGTTTTAAGTCTTCAAATCTGGTTCTTGGAACTACCTTATTATTTAGTTAGTTGCTGCTGTTTATTAGTTTCTGTCTTCCAGACAAGTAACACCTATCACAAGCTCTCTCTGTCTCTCTTTTTTTTTGTAAAAGTTACCACAAAGAATAGAACCTCTGCTTATCCAGAATGTGCCTTTGAGATTTCCAACAACAGCACCAAATGTAGCATTCCAAAAGCACATGAGATTTCCCCCCCCCCCAACTACACTTCAATAAGCATTTTATAATCTAATAATACGAGAGGAAAAATGACTCCAAAGTTGTGTATAGCTGACTGGAATTCAGACATCTGTTCTGATTAAAAAGCTTCCTGAGTGGGGTCCTCCATCCCACTAGAAATATTTAGCTTTTAACTCAATTAAAACAATATAAGACAAGTTTTATTCTTTCCAACCTGCAACTGGAATTGATGCACTAGCTTTTTCTGGGGTTGTCTTAGAATGAGAACCAAATTTTACAGCACCATCTTATTGTTCATAACATTCCCCCCCCCCCGCAAACAAACTCAGGAGGCGTGGCAGTGGTAAGAAGAGATTACTCTGAAACAGAATGGAAACAAGAGTACAGTAGTAGCAAAAGAAGTAAACAGCAGAAAGAATCTCCTTTCCCAACATCATCCACATCTTGAGTGGAACAAGACCCTTAAATCACCACCTGGTCCTGTTTTCAGCAGCTGGCCTTCCTTCCAAGACTGTCATGGCTCATTTAGATAGCATAGCACATTTTTTTTCTAAAGGATTATTCTTGGGGATCTTGGCATTCAAAATATAATGAGATACACTCATGTTAAAAAAAAATCTCTATAACATAACTGCTAGTCACATTTTTCAGAATTTGGTTTTTTTGAACGACATGGAACAAACAGCGTATTATTAAATGGGGAATATAAACTACTTGGAATATTAAAACAAGCTGCACTAATCTCAGATGCTGAGAAAAATATGGACAATTTGAACTGGCAATTTCTCTTTAAAGCTTTGGAAGATGCTTTGATGAGAAATTTATTCAAGGAATCAAGTAGTATATATATATCTCAAATGGGGTTGAATGGTGATTTGACTAAACCACTGTCAAAATGTATTGGGAAATTTCAAATATTTGTTGAAAATTTAACCAATCTGAGGGTACATTTTTAAAATCTTTGGTAAACATATAAGAAAGCTAGAAAAAGTGAAGGTTCAAATAAGAACAATAAACTAGCATTTCCTTCTATAAACAAGCAAAAATTAGGGTGCAAAGATAGGCATTTCTCTCCGATATTTTCTAAGTTCTTAAAAACTGATATATAAACAGATCAAGTTAAATGCAAATTTTATCATGTAAATGAGCAATTTTAAAATGATAGAACCACTTGCAGTATCAGATTATACAGTATTTATCTCTGTAACTTCAACCTTTTTTTTTATTGTGCAAGACATTTTTTGCCTTAATCTCTCTCTCCTGTCCTTCAGTACAACAATAAAAAGCAAGGGAGCTGATGAAAACAGAGTCATACTAGCAGGAAAGTAGAATATAAACAGCAGCCTACGAAACCAAAATCATTGTTACCTTTGCCAATAAAATTCTTCTCTTCAAGGATGGTTAAACAATTAAAATTATCTTTAATGAGCTGCTGGAAGCACTATCCAATCCAACTCCTGAAATCCTCAAAATATTAACTTCCACAATAAATTAAGTGGATTTGATTCTAAGTATATCGCAATTAATAAACAATTCAAAAGAAGAATCCATCAAAACTGTATATTTGCTTCTTTCGTAGCTGCAATGCTAACTTATCCTTGCTATCAGCAGCCATTTTATCTAGGTAAGAATTTGATAATTTAAAATGACTGAGAAGGTGTATCTGGATAAAAAGGATTATCTGCATCTATTTGAGCCAGGATTTTGTGCAGAGTTCAATCCTACTAGTCCTAGTGGATCTCTTGATGTCTTGATAATACAGATCTCGGTGTAGCTGGGCTTTGGGAACACTATTTTGCAGTGATTCTTGCCAGACCACATCCAGAAGATGTTGCTAGGAGATTCTTGATCGACACCTACGTTGTTGACCCATATTATTTAATATCTATGTAAAACTAATGGAAGTTTGACTTAGGGTTTGGAATGGATGTTATCAGTATCCTGACCGGCTTAAGGTTGACTCAGCCTTCCATCCTTCCGAGGTTGGTAAAATGAGAACCCAGACTGTTAGGGGCAATATGTTGATGTTGCAAATCGTTCATAAAGTGCTGTAAAGTACTGTAGAGTGGTATATAAGTCTCCATGCTATGATACCCAACTCTATTGTTCCTTACCAGCTAATTCTAAGGATGTAAATAGCATTCTTGACTATTACATTAAGTTTAAAAATAGTCTGTTTAAGAGTGAACAAGCAGAAATTAAATCCAGACAAGAGAGATGCCTTGGTAAATAGGAAAATGGACAACAATATTTGAATAAACTAAAGATTAAGACTATTAGAAGTAAAAGGAAGGAATATAAAGTTGGTTAATTTGGTCAAAGTTAAAGCAAGGTATCTTACTTCTGGAAATCCTTAATGGACCTTCTGTTACCACAAGAACTAAAAAGAGATGATTTATGGATTTGTTTATAGATGACAATTGGGGTTTGGGATGAAGAAATAAATCTTGTAACTTTGGAGGCAGTGAAGAGTTGCTAAATTTGTTTATACTTATGATGATACTTGAAAGTCACTTCTTTATTTTCTCTTTCATTGTATACCTACTTTTTTCTTTTCCTTTTTATTCTTTCCATTTTTTCTTTTACTATTTTCATATAAAACTATAATGTGTGTGTGTATGTGTGTGTGTGTGTATGTTTTCTGAGGTTTTCGCGGGTGTTTGTATGTAGGTCTTTGGTTATTCGGGTTTTCTCCCACGTCAAATTGGAAGTGTCTTGGCGACGTTTCGATGAAGTCTCATTCGTTATCTTCAGGCTGGTGTTTTCAGCTAAGACCACACATTGCTGCTCGAACCACGAAGCTGAAAACACCAGCCTGAAGATGACGAATGGGACTTTGTCGAAACGTCGCCAAGACACTTCCAATTTTATGCGGGAGAAAACCCGAACAACCAAACATACAAACACCCGCGAAAACCTCAGAAAACATATACATATTTGTATATATTGACCTAAATAATCTATAGTAATTTCAAATAAGGACTAATCCAAATAATTCTATCTATGTATAAGAATGCCTATGGTGCTGGGAGAAAAAAATATACTTCTGTCAGGATATTCTCTATTTTTATACATAACTCCACTTATAAAAAGTTGCCATTACAATTGAAGACAACAAATATTTAAGTAAAAAGTTATCAATAATGTGAATAGGAGTTAACCAATGCATCTTTAAAGGGAAAGTCAGAATGGAATATTAAGGGAAACAAAGACATACTTCATCTCTAGCACCTCCTCCAAGTGCTTCCTCCGCTCAGCCCGCAAGTTGGTTAAATGGGTTTCCTTCTCAGCCAGAGACTGCTGAGTAGAGGACAGCTTTGCTTTCATAGATTCCAGTTCTTGTTTTACTTTCTCCATAGCCATCATCAACTCTTCTACCTAAGGAATTTAAGAATGATAAAGAGGAAGAAGAGAGAAAGTATGTGATTATGAAACAATATTTGCCATTCACCAGAGCTATAGCGTGATGGAAAAAAATATTGCAAATGGTCAATTTATCCCTGTTGAAATAACATAATTAGTCTAAAATAACATATATTGATACTATTATAAATTACAGACAGCACTTCTTTATTACACATGTGTCTATTCACTGTTGGGTTTTGATTTATAATCATTGATAATAAATCTTTTATGTCCTACCTTCATTAAAATGTATAGAAAGTTACATTACAAAATTTTAATTACAAAGCCAATATTCTTAATTTCAGCATCTCAACAAAACGGTACTACCACATTCTCAAATACATTAAAATAACTCTCCTATGCATATTCAGAATATTTGAATAGATCTTTCTTGCTCAGAGCAAAAATGTAGTTTATATGAAATGAAGCTTGTTCTGTAACTAATTGAAAAATTTTGTATTTATGCTGGAACTCTATTCCATTTTGCTTATTTCTATGGTTTTATTAAAGGCAATAGACAGAACCATCTTATTTATCTATCAGCTCTTGAACCATCTTGGACCTAGCTGGACCATCAGGACAGAATGTCTGATGCAATTCAAAATAAATTGCAAGGAAGAGTAGATTGCTAAAGAAGAAACATACCAGTATACATTAGTCTGAAGAAGTCAAAAACTGAATGATAAAAAGACAACACTTTCTTTATCTAACTAAAGCTAAAACCAATAAAAGAAAGATAGATATGGAAGATTTACTCAGAAGCAAATTTATTTGTCCAGACTCTTCCTAGAACCACAGATATCCCTGATGTCTTTCTCATTAATGTCACACTGCAGAGAGCAACATGAAACAACAGTTCTTGTGAAATACCATCTCCCATTGGGAAAGCAAAGATGGGATGAAGTGAGAACCATTATTGCAGCACACTGAAGCAACGGCTCTCAAGTAATTTTGTTTGTCTATGCCCTCACTTTCCTGGAAAATGAATAAAACGAAAAACCTCACAGAATTATCACAAGTGAATAGAAAAAGCAAGTTAGATTTGATCTGCAGGCCAGAAAATTTTAACTGTATTGCCAAATTATATTGCTTGCTGTAACAATATCCTATCACTTTGCATGCCACCAAAGAATTTGTTTATTTATTCATTGTTTAAAAGATTTGTATGCCACCCATTTTAAAACACAACTATGGGTGGCTTATAACACCAGTAAAAACCTCAAACCATAAAACATATAATCATAACATTGTTGATTTAAATCCTGCCCTCCATCTCTGGCTTCCTGAAGTCCTCCAGATCTGCTCTAGAAGGATTTCTTTTTAAATAGATTTGAGGGGCAGTTTCAGGGAGAGGGAAGGGGAAAGACAGTATGAATTCCAGCTTCAGGAGATTTGCTCACATGGCAACAAACTTAGTTTAATATTTTTTCTTCTTCTGTTTAATCGTATCTTATTCTGGAGATTGCCTCGGCTAGTCCTTGCAGTTTTCCTGGCAAGGTTTTTCGGAAGTGGTTTGCCATTCTCTCCTTCCTAGGTTTGAGAGAAAATGACTGGTACAAGGTCACCCAGCTGGCTTTGCGATCAGTTCCTAATCTGATACCTTAAGCACCATGCCAAATTGGCTCATCTGTTTAATGATATCTGTAGTTTAATAGCACCCAATATTTACTTAGTTCTGTTGCAAAATATCCCAAGTCAGGGTAGAGGATTCAGCTGAATAATTCACTCAACCCTTTCTAGCTCTATGACTATATTCAGTACAACTCCGCCCCCTCAAAATATAGCAATAGACTTATATACCGCTTCATAGTGCTTTACAATCCTCTCTAAGCAGTTTACAGAATCAGCATATTGCCCCCCAAGAATCTGCGTCCTCATTTTACCTATCTCGGAAGAATGAAAGACAGAGACAACCTTGAGCCGGTGAGAATCAAGCTATAATTATAACTATAATAGAATTGAAAATTTAATTCATCCCAGTCAAATCTCTCCTCTTTAAAATGATTGGTGAGAATATTTTCCCATTAAATTGCTAACATTCTATGATTCACTAAGATTTACAAACCTCAAAACCCAATGCTAAATATTTCTTTTCTCTTCTGGCCATCTCCCAAACTTTAACATATAGTACACAAACCTCAGTTTCAGATTATGGCAATTATTCAACGATAAGAAGCAAAGCATGTAGAAATATTATCTCTCAGACTATAAAGCATTTGTTAAGAGCAGAAGTAGAAGGTGTTTATGCATTGATTTAAAAACCACAGATATTGGGGTATTCAATAAGCCTCGCAAAATGCACTAATCTATAGGGTACCAAGTTTCCAACTCTTCATTGAAGCATGTAGAAATGAGATACTTCTAGCATAACTAACAAAGAAACTCCCAAACACTCTCTTCCCATATGCTTAAGATTATGTATAAAATTTTAATATATCCAGATAGACTTATTACTCTGAAGGAATTGTATTAGAATTCCTTCAGAGTAATGTGTATCTGGGTCTATTCAAAAATCCATGCTTCTTGATTTACGATCCAAATGTTGAAACTCTTTTAATAAAAATGGACTACTAAAGACGCAGAAATCGAGAGTACTCTGAAATACTGTATTATCAAATTGTATTCCTTCTGCTATACATAAAATATACTGTTACGTTTAGGTTGTGATATTAGTTATGTGTTTTAATGTCAATCATTACCTGCTTCCAGATATAAAGTAATAGTAATAATAGTAGTAGTAGTAGTAGTAATAGTAATAATAATAATAAAAAGTTGGAAGGGACCTTGGAGATCATCTAGTCCAATGCCCTGCTCACGCAGGAAACCCTATACCATTTCAGACAAATGTGTCCAGTCTCTTCTTAAAAACCTCCCTTGTTAACATTCATCATTCTGGAGGCAGGTTGCTCCACTGATTAATTGTTCTCACTGAAATTTCTCCTTAGTTCTAGGTTGCTTCTCTCTTTGGTTAGTTTCCATCCGTTGTTTCTTGTCCTGCCTTCAGGTGCTTTGGAAAGTAGCTTGACTCCCTCTTGTTTGTGGCAGCCCCTGAGATATTGGAACACTGCTATCATGTCCCCGCTCATCCTTCTCTTCATTAAACTAGACATACCCAATTCCAGCAACTGTTTGTTGTATGTTTTAACTTCCAGTCCCCTAATATGGACAGAACTAACAATACAAGTCCATAAATATCCAACAAATGTTTTAGATAGACTAGAGACTCCTATGAAAAAAATATGCTACTCTGATGTACAAATATCTGGAAAAGTTGAAGAAAGCTTTTTATTATGAAAATATCTTTGAGAGTGGAAGATGATGTTCATTTTCAAAGTACGTTTCAGTGTTTGGAAACAGATTGTTTGATTTGGCTACTGAAACTAATCTTTGGGGTTCTACGGACTAAATGTGATATTTAATGCAACCTCAACAGATACATTTCCTAACTTCTTACAGTTTTACTTAAGAAGAGACATGCTATAATGGGCTTGGGAGACTGGAAGAAGAGTCGTAGCCAAGTCTGACAAGAGATATCTCAGCCTGCAGAAGGAATGGTGATCAAGAAAGCATCTCAGAAGGACCTTCCCTAGTTCTCTGGAAAGAAAAGACAGGGGACAGGGAGAAAAGTGTTTTCAGACTTACAAGATTATGTTACTGTAATTTTACAATAGATGTACTATTAGTACTCATGGTTTTGGTTTCCTTTCTGAACTATCTCAAAGGGCTTTCACGTACCAATAGAGAATTTGATTCTCTATCTGCAGAATGTATGCTCTCAATGGGATCTTCAAAGTAACTTACTATGGGGGCAAAGCTATGGCATGAATCATGGGGAAAAAGAACCCTAAAATCTTTTCCTCACTAAAAAAAAAAGGGAACCATTCTTCAAATTTATCTACCTTTTCAGACTTGAGAAGAATTAGCTGTTGCAGCTTGTTAGGCGATGAAAAAGAGGGATTAAAAAAAGACAATAAACTGGCACCAAATACTACAACCAATAAGAAGGTTTCTATCCCTCCCTGCATCTGGACCTCTACGTAAATGAAACTGTCTGTTTAAGTAAAGCAACTGTTTGATTTAACTCCTAACACTGAAACGTTTCCTTAAATAAAAATAATTCCTGTATGCAAAGTCAGAAACTTGATATGAAGTTGGTAAGTGGATTCATAGGTATGTTGGTAAACTGAAAAAGCTTCAAAATATTTTCAATTCTTAATCTGCGCTAGTCCTTCAAAGTAAAACTTGATTTAGAGAACTAAATCAACTTAATAATGTCAGTTAAAAAAAAAACCCGGAACATAGTCTAAAACACCAAGAACATCCCAAAAAGTAGCAGAACACATCCCAAAACCCACTGCCTGTCTAATTTGTTGGAACATCTCTTAAAAAAAAGATGTTCTAGATGTCTCTTTTTATTTTCTGTTCTTTACTGTGTTCTCCCCCAGTGAATTCATCCATGTCTGAGCCGGTAGACTCCTCTTCTGCATCAGATGATTAATTTACATATCAATGATAATTTGATAACACTGTTTGAGTTTTCTCAGCCTTACAGTACACTGTGGATAGTGATATAGGGTGGGAGGAAGCATACGTAATAGATTAATCTATGGGAGTACTTTGGTTAGATAAACCTCAGTACAGAGTTATATCAGAAGATAATTTTTTAAAAAAATCTATTAACAAAATTTAGATAGAGCTGTGATGAAAAGGTCAACAGCATTTAAACACTGAAGACCGAAAATCTTTTAAACAGCTATTTTACATTATGGCTTATTTGAAGTAAAGTTGTTAGAAGAATCTTAAATGTAAAAACTGGACTTTGATGCAATACTCATGAAAAATGTTGCATTTATGTTATTCCTGATGTATTGTCAGCCATATCAATTTGAATGTGCTGTCAAGAGCTTTTTAAAGAAGCATAGCTTCTTTAAAGAGAAGAGAAAGAGAAGAAAAAGCTGAAGATTTGTACAGTGAAGGAAAAAAGTATTTAATCCCCTGCTGATTTTGTACGTTTGCCCACTGACAAAGAAATGATCAGTCTATAATTTTAATGGTAGATTTATTTTAACAGTGAGACAGAATAACAACAACAAAAAATCCAGAAAAACTTTCAAAAAAGTTATAAATTGATTTTCATTTTAATGAGTGAAATAAGTACCGTAAATGCCGGCATATAAGACGACCCCCGTCTTTATAGCCGGGCCGCATTCCTAGAACATCGTCTTATACGCTGGAAACTACCAGTATTTCTGGCGTATAAGACGACTTGGCATATAAAATGACCCCCGTCTTTGGCGCCGATTTCAGCGCTCGCGGAAGTCGCCTTATACGCCGGCATTACGGTATTTGATTCCCTATCAATCAGCAAGATTTGTGGCTCCCAGGTGTCTTTTCTGGCTCCCAGGTGTCTTAAAGGGAGTGCTCCTAATCTCAGCTTCTTACCTGTATAAAAGACACCTGTCCACAGAAGCAATCAAATCAATCAGATTCCAAACTCTCCACCATGGCCAAGACCAAAGAGCTGTCCGAGGATGTGAGGGGCAAGATTGTAGACCTACACAAGGCTGGAATGGTCTACAAGACTATTGCCAAGCAGCTTGGTGAGGAGGTGACAACAAATGGTGTGATTATTCACAAATGGAAGAAATACAAAATAACTGTCAATCTCCCTTGGTCTGAGACTCCATACAAAATCTCACCTCTTGGAGTTTCAATGATCATGAGAACGCTGAGAAATCAGCACAGAACTACATGGGAGGAACTTGTCAATAATCTCAAGGCAGCTGGGACTATAGTCACCAAGAAAACAATTGGTAACACACTACGTCGTGAAGAGCTGAAATCCTACAGCACCTGCAAGGTCCCCTGCTCAAGAAAGCACATGTACAGGCCTGTCTGAAGTTTGCCAATAAACATCTGAATGATTCAGAAGAGAACTGGGTGAAAGTGTTGCCAGATGAGACCAAAATTGAGCTCTTCGGCACCAACTCAACTCGCCATGTTAGGAGAAGGAGGAATGATGCCTGTGACCCCAAGAACACCATCCCCACTGTCAAACATGGAGGTGGAAACATTATACTTTGGGGGTGTTTTTCTGCTAAGGGGACAGGGCAACTTCACCGCATCAAAGGGATGATAGACGGAGCCATGTACTGTCAAATCTTGGGTGAGAACCTCCTTCCCTCAGCCAGGGTATTGAAAATGGGTCGTGGATGGGCATGAAAATGACCCAAAACACACGGCCAAGGCAACAAAGGAGTGGCTCAAGAAGAAGCACATTAAGGTCCTGGAGTGACCTAGCCAGTCTCCAGACCTTAATCCCATAGAAAATCTGTGGAAGGAGCTGAAGGTTTGAGCTGTCAAACATCAACCTCAAAACCTTAATGACTTGGAGAGGATCTGCAAAGAGGAGTGGGACAAAATCCCTCCTGAGACGTGCGCAAACTGGTGGCCAACTACAAGAAATGTCTGACCTCTATGATTGCCAACAAAGATTTTGCCACCAAGTACTAAGTCATGTTTTGCAAAGGGGTGAAATACTTAATTCACTCATTAAAATGCAAATCAATTTATAACTTTTTTGAAATGCGTTTTTCTGGATTTTTTTGTTGTTATTCTGTCTCTCACTGTTAAAATAAACCTACCATTAAAATTATAGACTGATCATTTCTTTGTCAGTGGGCAAATGTACAAAATCAGCAGGGGATCAAATACTTTCCCCCCCTCGCTGTAGATTTGCTAGTCTTTTGTTGGCAGGGTCTCTCCATTTTTCCAGAAAAGTAAAGAAGATGAGCTGTCACATCTTAGGGCTATATTTACAGGAAAGACTCCTAAAAGCCCACATCAACATTCAGAAATGTTATTTTGTGTCTCTTTTCTAGTCCTCTATGGCTAAAATTCCCAAGTTAAAAAAAAGGAAAAACAAAGTACTGATGACAATAATCTTATTTAGGGAAAATGTTTTTCAGGGCCTTCTGGGGAAAGGTATGGCAAACTGAAAACAGACTCAATGACTGTAGCAGAAACCAAGAAACCAGTGAGAAGATCAGTTCCTTGGAACTTCTCTAGATAAGAAGACTATTGGAGATACCCATACATTCACAAAATATTGTGAGAAGATAAATGGGTACAACCACATGAATTACTGGGAGAAATCATCTGCTGGTTTGGCTTCGTTAACATCAGTATGCTTCAGTAATATCAATATGTCAATGATTCCTAGCTTTATATCATGCCTCCAGGCCAAAGAAGCAATGAATAGGAAGTCCCGACCAGTGCTTGGAAACTGTGAGGGACTAGGTGAAATAAAACAGATTGTGTTTGAATTCAAGCAAGACGGCTCTCATTAATACAGAAACTCTCTAGTTCCATGGAAATTCCATCAACAGTTCTTGGACTTCCCTAGAAAGAGCCAGTGGGTGATCCAGGGTATTCCTTGGACCTATGATACCTGCTGGAGCAGCAGGTGAAAGTCACAGCAAGCAAAACCTTTGGCTAGGCCAGGGGTAGGCAACCTCGGCTCTTTTATGACTCATGGACTTCAATTCCCAGAATTCCTGAGCCAGCTGGCTCAGGAATTCTGGGAATTGAAGTCCATGAGTCATAAAAGAGCCGAGGTTGCCTACCCCTGGGCTAGACAAAGAGATATGTAATGGGGCTATTTTCAAAGATGACTTAAAAACTGCAGCTGGTTCAAGACACAGCTGCTAGCTAGGGAAGTTGCTGACCTCATCCTCTTTGGATTACATTGCCTTGGAGTTGCATTTTGGGGGTGGGGGTAGTGGTCAAGATTAAAGCAAAAAAACCTCATGTCTTCTTTGAATACGATATTCTATTTACATGTGGAAAAATACACTTTGTGAAATTTATTTTGATAGCTGATAGCTATAGTTTTTGAGAAAAAAATATTCAAACACCATATGTGTGAAAGGGATCTGACCTCATGACCATTCTTAAGATCTACTGTAGACATGTCAAACTCACGACATCATGTGATGTCGCGCGACGTATGGCGCCGGCAATGGGGTGGGCGTGGTTTCCTGGTGATGCGTCCGGCCTGCGGGCTGGCAGTTTGACACTCTGATCTACTGTGTTCTTAGATCTACTGTGGTTGAAGTCTTTATTGCAGCATAGAGAAAAGGTTCAGATTCTACCTTTTTGAAACAATTTCCTGATGCATCTTCCTTCTCTCCTTCCTCCTCCCCCCTCCGCTTTATTTGTCATTCTAGCTGTACCCGTCATATTTTTCACTTTATTTATTCGATTCATTCTCTCTACCTTACAGTCTTAAACATTATTTATGTGGTTTAGTTCATGATTAGTCAACCTGGCAGCTTTTAAATATTTTGGACAATAATATTTCTAAACAAAGACCATGCTGTTAGCCATTTATAAAAATTGCAGTCTAACAGTGCTCAAGAACAATATATTAACACATTCTTAGAATAAAGTTGATTTTGTCTGCTTCTTATATAGTAAAATGTGATGGCATTACTGAGAAGGGTTATTTCCAGGGTTAAAATGTATATATGGGGAAAAAATAATTATACATCACATTGTTTAACACATTGTTTATATTACCCATATTAACCTGAAATATCAATACCAGTGACCATAAGCATGCAGACCTGTTTTTCAGCTTGTGTCCTGGCTGATTCTTCTTGAGCTAATACCATTTCCCGTTCTGCAGTTATTTGTACACTCTCTCTCAGTGCTTCTTCTAGCTCCTCAATTCGATCATCCTTCTTATGCAAACTATCCTGGAAAATGATAGGACACCAGATGAAGTAGCTTCTAGAGCAAATAAGTCAAGTGCTAGGTCACCCACAGGGGAGTTTCTAGCAATGGAATTCCACAAAGTTAAGTTTTCACACAGAAGAAAATCCCAGATGTAAAATGAAGGAAGAGCTGGAGTAAATCCATAGCCAAGACAAAAGTTAGCAAATTTGAGATGAGTAGTAGCAGTGCAATTAGTGTTAAGACAGCTGGAGATGGTAGGTAGTTTTTTGTGCAAAAGCACATCTTCACATGCAATTCAGGTTAGTAGGCAGAAGATGTAGATGTACAGCAAGCATTACCCTTTTCTTCCAGGTACCCTCAATCTGACAGTTCAAAAGCAAGAAATCAGAAGAAGCATGAGTTGTAGTAAATGACTTAAGAAAAACTGTCTTTAAAAAAAAAAAATACTGAGATCTCTCAACATCCTTTCATATAAAGATAACTGATTCCCTTGAAAAAAAAATCAGATGAAAATCTGAAAACAAAGGAATCAACAAGTTGTATTCGAAAAATTCTGTACTATATGACTAGGAAAATAATCTTCTCATAATAAAACATATGTTTATAGATCAAAAAGATACATTAAATATTCATTTAGTGTCTGAAAACATAACCAACTAGAGATGTTTAATCAAATCGGAAAACGTGAAATGTCTTATAGCAGATGTTGGATCTTTTTCTGCTTCTGAATTTGTAAACAAGAAACAGTTGCCTTTCCTAGCTTTATACCTTCCTTTTGCTGGTCTATGATTGTAATAAAAGATTTGATTGATTTGCTCTTATGATAAAATGATCATCTACCAAGTGCTTTGGATTCTGCCAATTATATGACAGGACCATTTCATAACTGTAGAATCCTACACAACATTGTAATTACCATGAATAGTATTTATATCAGGACCTGCTAGGTTTTTCTGAATGAAAGATACCTACAATGTGACGATAAGAGTGATACTGCTAGCTGTGTGAAATATACAGGCTCAAAAAACAGTATTAAGATAGGGAAACACTTATGTGGCAAAGAGTGGAGCATAAAGACTTGATTTTAACTGAAGGTAAATGGAAAATGTTGGGATGTGTTTTAAGGAGAATCGGTCAAATCTGGAATTCCTGATCATTTTGCAAATTAAAGCCTGGTAGCAGTTTCTAAATTCTGTTAACAGCAAATAATAAAAATGCTATTTACCTTTGAGGAAATGGCTGGCAAAAATATACATATTAACATAAAATTGGACATAAAAATCCAAGTATTAGAATGAACGCATTCCTACATGTAATTTTTTGTTTCTTTTTTTAAATGCGAAACTTGTAAGAAAATAGAATACAATGAAAAAATGAAACCGAAATAGAAAGCTTTGTTCCTTTCCTAGTCACTAGTAATGGATGTGTATTAAGAAAGACAAGAGCAGAATGCAACATGGATCTAACAGATAAAAAATGTTCATATCAGAATACGCCACCAACCAAGATGATCACTGAATGACCTTCATGGAGCAACTACTATGGCGTCAAGAATACTAGTTCTTTTATGCCTTCTTCAGCTTTGTTGACTACATCCTTATAACTCTGCTAAAAGCCTTAGAATTATAGTCAGTCAGTCTGTAAAAGACAGTCCTAGCAAATTATAGTATGCTGTTTGTTCTAACTACATAGACAGGAAAAATACTTATTAGGTTGTCTACCTTATATCACATTTAGAATCTTTAGTTGTTATCTTCAGTTCTGCAAAGAATTGTTTGTCCAAGTACAATACCTCTGAACAATTATGTAGAAACATGAGGAATAAAAAAAAGCATAGCTATCTAATAGATTTCCATGTACTCTGCATTGGTGGTAAGGAACAATTATTTTTGTAAATAAAATTAATCCAGTTAATTTCTACTTTCAAAAATGTGAAATATATAGAACATTGCTAATTCTGTCTCACTTAAAATTGATGGCCCTTAATATTATAATATAATCAGACAAATATTTAATTTGATGTTTAAATAAATTCTATATATTACGCATTCAGAAGTATACACACAAACATACTTACACTACTGTTCAACAAATTCTTTGGAAAAATTAATTAAATGCAAGTGACGACTGTTGCTATCACAAAACAATTAGCTATCAATAAATCATCATTTAAGAATCAGTCATATGCTTAAGTTACACATTAATCCCTTAAATTAGGTTTTTGGCAAAAAGTTTGGATTTTTTACCTAAAATCTTACTGAACTTGGCATGAGCCAGTCAGATGTAAGCCTAGATACAGGACAATCTATTTTGAACTACTCTAAACTATTACTTGCTGGAGTAGCAATCAGATCTACATTTTTGCCATGGAACTGTTAGATACACACTTAGATTCATGGGAACACAACATTTATTATACATAAATGCATTGTTGTATATGCTTACCACAATATACAGTATTAGCATCTGTAAATATTCTGTGATGAGTCAGTGCTACAGCGACTCTGTCAATGGGAGGAAATATACACGAAATACACACTTCTGTAAATCTGACAATATTTACTGAAGTTTATGTATCTCAATATCTCAGCAGACAATTTCTTTTATTTTGCCAGATATTTAAATTTTATCTCCATTTCCAAACTGAGAAGGGCTCTAACTTTAGCTCAGTTCAATGTTTTATTGTTGGCTGTTTCAGAAGAAATATATAAAAAATACTTTATTGCGCCAAGGAAATTCATGATTCTCTTTTGATCAGAAGCAGTATTTTAGATTTAGTATTTTAGTGTTACTACTATTACTACTTTTATTTTAGACTCACAGTATTACTTAAATTACTTTTTGTTACTCTTATACTAAAGAAGTCACTTGAAATGATATCTTCTTACTTGTATTTTTAACTCTTTTGTTTGACTGCTTTTGTTTCATGTTGGTTATTGACTGAACTAAAAACTGACTACTGTACAGTGCAATCTGTATGTGTGTGAGTGAGAGAGAGAGAGAGAGAGAGACACAGAGAGAGAATGAATACTATGAGAGCAAAATAACATCTTTAAGCATACACCAATCCTTCATTATGAGTAAATATTAAAGCAAGAAAACAAGCGAAGCAAAACAGCTCAGTTCAGACGACCGTGCATTACATATATAATATGATGTTACCTGCAACTGCTGGGAACTGTCATTAAGATTGTCTTCCCGCCTCCTTGCTTCTTCCAACATTTGTGCACTCTTTTTCTTCTCCACCTGTTCTTTGTGCTTTAAATTTGCTACCTTCTTATTCTGATCTTTAATTTGCCTACAAATAGGAAACCAAATATTCAAACATTTGTGCAACCTACATATATTTGAAAATAGCAAGTACTGTAAGGGAATTTTCGCATTCAATACAGATAACTTAAATGATACCTGATTCTCCAGTTTTAGAAATAACCAGCATTTCCTTCTGCTATCTCATTTCTAGATGTAACTCAAGGTTAATAATTTCTACCACTCTGTTTGATTAAACACTCTATATGGGGTTTCTCCTATAACTGAAAACAATTTGCTTGTTTTTTATTCCTATTTGAACTTACAAATTCTGATCCTTGAAATGCTAACTTGTTTGCTTGCAATTCTACGAAGGTTGGAAATTCATTTTTTATAGATTTTGACCAAAAAGCAGCTGTCCAGATTGTAATTCCAATGAACACAAACAGATCATTCCTGCATGCACACACACACACACACACACATATATATATATAATCAATTCCTACTCAAGATTCCAAACTAGAAATTTTTTTAATATGCAAAAAGATACTGAGAATTATTACAAAACTACATTAATAATTTACTTGAAAACCACTGGAGATTTAATAAAAAGAAAATCCTATTTAGGTATCAGTTTTTTTGAAAGGAAAAAAGGAGTCGATGGTGCATTTGTATGGAACCTCTAAAATATACTTAGAATTGATGTTAATTAGGAAAGCTATTCACTGAAGAAATCTGTTTCTTGTCAACACTCCAAGCAAGGTAAAATTTTGCAGAACTGGTTACTTATTAATATTATGGTTCTTTGAGTAGCCACTTATGAGTTCCCACAAATGGACTCTCTAGCTGTGCAGAACTCCTATTTGGAACATTCCTAAGCTTAGGAATTTTGATGAGTCTTCCACATGCTTCCGGCACACTTTTCACTAATCTTCCTAGCTGCCATCAAACTCTTTGCACCAGTTGATTCTCATGAATGGATGAATAGTGGACATGGGTGAGTGATCACAAAGTATAGGAAGAAAAGATCATTCTTCCAAATGCCACATCTCTCTATTACATCCATAATATTTGGATATTGTGACCAAGTACAGGCTTAACAGTTTTGGCAAAAAATGTACTGAAGGAAATCCAGAGGGTTGTCACAGCTGGGTCTAAACAATTTCCTTAACGTGACTTGGACACTGCTAATTTTCTAGATCACAGCAATTCCTTATGGTGGTTACAACTCTTTTAAGAACTGCTACAATGATAACTCGTCCCCAAAACAGGAACTGATCTCTGCCACAAATGGTAATTATTCAGCAAAAGGCCACTGCTCTAAAGGCATCAAGAGAGTCCAAATATTGCTCCAAGCGATAGGATGTGTGTCTGTATGTGGGTGGAATGTCCTGGCTCAGATGAATGAGAGACAGTCTGTGGTAGAAATGAGATCTCAGGAGGCAAAATTAGCTTGCCTTCATGCATGACATACACTGCACATTGAATAATATGTTAGCTCAACTGGCCACCAAAATTAAAAAGGCAGTTTTCCAAGACAGCAAATCCTTGTGACCTTGTCTGAGGGCAATTCTTTATGAGGATTAGTCAATGCCATCAAGTCTTCTCCATCTGGTTCAGCATCTGAACCAGAATTAGTTTTTACTACCAGAACTTTCTGTCCAGGAATCTGATCACCACTGCCATGGTAGTGTGGTAACTATTCATCGTTTTGATGAATTAAATATGAGAACTCAGAGAGGCACGGAAACACTCACTTGTAAAGGAGAACAACTTAAAAATAAGGCAGCCTAAGATGTCTCGATGTCCTGGCCTCACAAGCAGCTTTTATCTGGGCTACAATCACATTAAAATTTTTATTAGGTTTATCTGTAAACTGTGAATTCCATCCAAACAGAAACAGCATTTAAAGGAGCAAGTAAGAGAGAGAACCAGAAACAATCCAAGTCAAGTTGCAGAAAGGATCCAAAAATAGATTGGACAGTCACAGAGGCCTTAATGGACCAGCCATGTCTCTAGACTGCTTCTGAAATACCAGGAGACTAAATTCTCCTGAGTAACCCTGATCAAGGTGTGCCTCCTTTAGCAATAAATCCTAACTAGTCCTGGTCAGTTTCCACTATTAGTACAGCCAAACATTGGATGGAGGAGGCTCACGGTCTGGAAGGGTCCAGAGCACAAGAGTGGTACAGCTGGTTGCTGGCTTAGCAATACTGATGGGGCCTGGCAGCACGGAGTGACTACTGAAATGCATCTTCCTAATCATCTTCCACATCTGAAGACGCTGGATAGTTTTGCAGCCAAATCAGATTTAACAGGGAAGGGAAATCTTGCAACCAGATAAAATTTAATGAATATCATGTGAGGGATGGGGGGAACTTATAGCTTTTAATTTAAAATTTTCTGCTTAAGAGTAGTTCAGTGTTGAAAACAATGTGTACTGCTTTCAGGCTTATATAACTGTTCTTGTTACCATTTTGCCTTGAATTGTCTTGTTGTCCTACTGGCTGGTTAACTTCCTGAGGTACTTTATCTCCTGGTGTCCAAACTATTTGTGCTGTGATTCTGCTCTCTTGTTTATCTTCTGGACTCTCTCTTACGAGTCAGGTTGGTTGAGTTTTTGACTTCTCAACTACTTACTTTACTATGAAGCTCTCTGGTTGTGAATATTTTTTTTTTTCTGAATTAGCAGTCCATATTCCTGACCCTAATCCACAAAAGGACAGCTGTTGAGTTGATGCAGACTCACTGAGGAAATTCACTGAAGTTGAATTTTGTGTTTTCAAGAGGAAAATCAATGCTCTTATAGTACGGACACCAGACTGATAAGGAGGAACTGAGAAACTGCTTAGTTGTCTGCTCCCAGAGAACTGTTCTTAGGTGGAAAGAGTAATTAATCTAGCCTGTTTAGTGAACATCTGACAGTGCAGATGGCATTATAAAGTATGCTAATCTCCAAGAAAGAAATAGGTATATTTTTTAATTTTTATTTTTAAAAATCTTTCCTACCAGAAGGACAAAAATCACCTCAGAACACTGGCTCTTGCAAGAGGAGTTCTCCAAGAATTTTGAAGGGTCAAAATCCAACTCCTCACTGAGCATAATATATATGTGAAATGAAAAAGAAAAGAAAACTCTTCAGTGAAGAGTTAATACAGAAATGGATAAAAAAGCCCTATGAATAAGAGAAAATAATTTGAAGAAGTTTGTCTAAACATGGTGCTACTGTTGAACAAGAACGAGAGTTATTGGAGACATACTAGTGTCACCTACAGTGCATCTCTCTCCACCCCCCTTCCTCTCTTCTGAAAATCCACGTGTGTTACACTAAGTCTCTGAAGAAAAATTAAATGATTATGCAGAATGTAATTATATTGAATTCTAGTAGTATTCAATTATAAGCTGAGTGCTAAAGTCAACAGCTGTATGTAGTGCATTTTACTTTTAAAATGAATACTTGTGTTGATTTACCAATGCTCAGATGCTTTAAATTCTTTTAGAAATATGTCCATCACTTCAGAGAGCTTTAGAATGAACTATGGAAGTTGTACATCCCTTCACAACAGAAAAAGGAGAGTTTAAATATTGATCAAAGACAAGTTATAAAAAAAATCTACACACTTGGGAGGTAGAACTTCTAATGACCTGTCAGGAAACAGCAATTTATTTTCTGTGTTGTGTATCCTTACAGAACAATAGGTTAAAAGGGGAAAGAGAAATGAATAGAAGTTCTTCGTGAACAAAGCTCCTATACTACAAATTACAGAACCCTTTAATCTTCACGATCCATTAGCAGCTGCACTAAAAGGAGAGGGAGAGAGAGAGAGACAGAGAGGGAAAGAGAAAGAAAAAAAAAAACTCTAATCCTAGACAGGGAAACCAAGTTCCAACATTGTATTGTACTTTTTTGTGTTCTTCCAGCAAAGGAAAAAATATTAAAACCTGGATCCCAAATACCGGTATATAATTCTTGGATTTCAGATGAAGATTTACATGATTGAAAGATCCTTTGGACACACTCCAAACAAGAAATTATAGAAGTTACCTTCTTGCACTCTGTTTCAATTAAGGTTATAGGACTCCTAACTGAGGAAAATCTGATAAACTTTATTTGAAAAGAGCAAATAAAACTATTCATAGTAAGTCTCCATTAGCCCCTACTCCCATCTGCAGGATCTTAATGGAGAAGATACTAAACAGTATGGTAGAGCAGCACTAGCCTGTTCTTTACAGATGCAAGGAAGGTATGGATATAGGAGCTCTTTTGTTCATCTACAGCTCTGGCACAGGACAGTAAATGTCCCCCCCCCCCCAAAGGCCCTGATCTTTGATTGTACCAATTTGTTGCAAGAGTACCTCCACTTGGGGTCTTGCCCTCTTGCCATGTCCTTTACTGCTATCAATTCCCTTTGATCACTTAAAAGCAGCAGTATCATTTGCTTGGCCCATCTCCATATTTCTCAAACCATCCATGACTTTGAACGTATCATCAACAGACAAGGAGAAATTCCTCAAGCACATTCTAAAGTCCAAATCTATCAAGTTCTTTGATTGGACCATTTTAGCTGGTTTGTTCCATTGCAGAGGTTCCTAACAACTGACATTCCAAATCTGACCAGAAAGTGATCTCTCCACGACAACAGATTTACAGATAGCTACCCCATTTTTATATTATCTATACAGCCAAACAGAATAACATAAACAACTTGTATCATGCTGTACATGTGGGGCCGGGACAGATCCGTGGGTATTCTGGGCCACTCTTGATTGGGCAACATCAGAAGGGTCACTTAAATCCCCCAAGATAATATGCATAAGGTAGTTTAAAGACAAACCATCTCAGCTAGCTCAATAAGACTGTGTGCAACAGGATGCACAATATCCTGCCTGGATCCTTACACTGTCTCAAACAAACGCAGCAGAAAATGTAGCAGCAAATAATTAAAATTTGCAGACTGTCAAAAGGATCTTCTGGCCAGGAAGATGGAACTCCTACAGACCAGCCACGACTACTATCTTCTGCTCCTCTGGCAGTGAAAAACAATA